ATATATATTCAACGACTACCCTATACGATCCAAATCAAAATGGAACATTCCACTAGAATAAGAACCACTTTTTCTAAATTGACATTTATAGCATTTTTGAGTAATTTAAAGAAACAGTATTATAAATTAAACTCTAAAAAATATCTTAAAGTAAAAACTACAATAATAAATTTTTAAAGATTGAAGCACAAAGGATCATTTTAACTGTTAAATAGCAATAACTGTTGAGGAAACTGCAAACCTAGGCCTATCATCCATTACTTACCTTTCTTTGTACTGGGATAGCAACTGATAAAGTTTTTCTGTTTCTCCACTTTCATACAAGTAGTCTGCTTGTTCAAGGATTTCTTCAACTTCAAAGATTATAAAAGAAAAAAGACAGAATAAAGTAGGTCTTCCCAAGTCAGATGACAATAATCTAAGAAACATACACACTTTTATATATAAGCAAATGAAACCAGATATAGAAAGCACCTATAAAGAAAGATCAGGGGCCAGGCTCGGTGGCTCAGCCTGTAATCCCAGCACTTTGGGAGGCCGAGGTAAGTGGATGGCCTGAGCCCATGGGTTCAAGACCAGCCTGAGGAACTTGGTGAGACCTCATCTCTACAATAAATAAAAAATTAGCTGGTTGTGGTTGCGCATTCCTGTAGTTTCAGCTGAGGCAGAAGGATCATCAGAGCCCAGCAGGTCAATGCTGGGGTGGCCATGAGAGTGCCACTGCATTCCAGCATGGGTGACAGAATGAAACTCCACCTCAAAAAAAAAAAAGACCAGAAAAAGAAGGATCAGAAATTCTGAAGAACCTAGATGAAAGTAGAGTAGAAGTAAGTATGAAGCTAACACAATAAATGATTTATTGAAGCCATGAAAAATAAATAATTAGAAAACTCTAGCCGGGCTCAGTGGCTCAGCCTGTAATCCCGCGCTTTGGGGGGGCGTTCAAGACCCACCTGGGCAACTTGGTGAGACCTCATCTCTACAATGAATCAAAAACTAGCGGGGCATGATAGCGTGCACCTGTAGTTCCAGCTACTTGGAAGGCTGAGGCGGAAGGATCCCCGGAGCCCAGCAGGTCGAGGCTGCGGTGGCTGGGAGCAGCCACTGCACTCCAGTCTGGGTGACAGAGTGAGACTCCAACTCAAAAAAGAAAAAAGAAAACTCTAATCCCAGCACTTTGGGAGGGGAAGGGGAGAAGACTGCCTGAGTTCAGGGGTTCGAGATCAGCCTGGGCAATTTGACGAGATCTCTTCTCTACAATAAATCAAAAAATTAACCAAGTGTACTGGCAGGCGTACTGGAAGGCTGAGGCAGAAGCATCACCTGAATCCAGCAGTTGAGGCTGCAGTGGCCGTGAGCATGCCACCGCACTACAGCCTGGGAGAAAGAGTGAGACCCTGATTCAAAAAAAAAAAAAAGAAAGAAACCTCATTCTGGTACTGACTAAATATAGACATTTTTTAAGTGAAAAAAGCAATTTCCTGTGAGGATTTATGGGTACATATACCTTGCAAAGAGTCTCTGTTGTTGCTGCTGTTAAATACCATCCATTGTAGAAAATGATAATAGAATTCATCTACTTGCAGCACTGAATAATATGAACTTGCATGGACTGAACCACATTGTTTTTCTAGATTCTCTTTATGATCTAACTTATACATACAGACACTATTATGGAAAGGAGTCAAATCTGTCATCAAAAACTTAGATGACATTAACTACATAGAGAATCTGAAACTTGCCTAATTGATACTATGTTACAACCAACACATATAACTAGTTTAGACATGACTATAAAATATATAAACTTTATTGACAATGTCGTGTCCTAATAAAATTATCTACTTGCAAAAAAAACTCAGTAAGTCTAATTTCAGAAAATTCCTATTATTATTAAGGAACATACACATTTAATTTTGTCTTGTACTACTTAGTCCTACTTATAAGTCAACATTCCAATGTGCTCAGTTAGGTCTCTTCATTATTTTATCTTGGAATACTTAATTAATCATCATGTACTTGAGGTTAAAAGGGTTTTAAGTTTTTAAAACACTAATCTACACCAGCAAAAAGAAAAAAATGATACGTAATTTGTGATACAATCACATAAGTATTTTTTAAGTTACAATCATAATGCAATAATTATATTGATTAAAAACTAAATGACTAATGATAAAAGGCTCAATCGATCAACAAGAAATATCTATCCTAAACATATATGCACCCAACATAGATGCACCAACTGTCATAAAGCAACTTCTAGGAAAACTAAAGAAAGATATTGACTCTAACACCATCATAACTGGGGACTTTAATACCCCACTCACAACCCTAGACAGATCATTAGGACAAAAAATCAGCAAGGAGATCCGGAACCTCAATGTGACTTTGGACCAAATGGTCTTAATTGATATTACAGAACACTCCATCCAAAGACCACAGAATATACATTCTACTCATCACTGCATGGAACGTATTCTAAGATCAACCACGGAATTGGCCATGAATCAAGCATAAGCAAATTTAAAAGGACTGAAATTCTACCATGCACCTTCTTGAACCACAGTGGAATAAAAATAAACACTGACACCAACAAAGTCCCCCCAAAACCCACAAAGACATGGACACTAAATAGCATGATGCTAAACAACTCCTGGGTCAATGATGAAATCAAAACACAGATCAAAAGATACCTGGAAACAAACGAAAATGAAGAAACATCTTACTAAAGCCTCTGGGACGCCTTGAAAGCTGTAGTAAGAGAGGAATTTATATCCCTACAAACACACATGAAGAAAATGGAAGGAACACAAATTAACAACCTAACAAGCTACCTAAAGAAGCTGGAAAAGCAAGACCACAAAAACCCTAATTTCAGCAGAAGAATCCAGATCACCAAAATAAAAGCCCAAATCCAGGACATCGAAGACAAAAAGATAATACAAAAAATCAATGAAACAAAAAGCTGGTTCTTCGAAAGGATAAACAAGATCGATGGTCCCCTAGCTAGACTGACCAAGAAAAAACGAGAAAAAAATCAAATAAGCACAATCAGAAACACAAAAGATGAAGTCACATCTGACCCTGAAGAAATACAAAAGATCATTAGAGACTACTACGTACACTTGTATGGAAACAAACTTGAAAACCTTAAGGAAATGGAGGACTTTCTGACATCACACAACCTACCTATTTTGGAACAAGAAGAAATTGAAACCCTAAATAGACCAATAACAATCAAGGAAATCGACTACGTAATAAGAAAACTTCCTACAAAAAAAGCCCTGGTCCAGATGGCTTTCCAGCAGAATTCTACAAGACATTTAAGGAGGAGCTGATACCAATCCTACTAAAGGTATTCCAGGCGATTGAAAAAGATGGAACTCTCCCCAAATCATTTTACGAAGCCAACATCACATTGATACCCAAGCCAGGTAAAGATCCAACAAAGAAAGAGAACTACAGGCCAATATCTTTGATGAACATAGATGCTAAAATTCTCAACAAGATCCTAGCAAACCAAATTAAGCAATACATCTCAAAAATCATCCATCATGACCAAGTAGGCTTCATCCCTGGGATGCAAGGATGGTTCAACATTCATAAAACCATAAATGTAATTAAATACATCAAGAGATGTCAAAACAAAAACCACATGATTATATCATTAGATGCAGAAAAAGCTTTTGATAAAATCCAGCACCCCTTCTTGATAAAAACCCTTGAACATCTAAGCATACGGGGAACATACCTCAAAATAGTAAAAGCCATCTACGAGAAACCCACAGTCAGCATACTCCTAAATAGACAAAAATTGGAACCACTTCCCCTGAAAACTGGAACAAGACAAGGATGCCCACTCTCACCCCTCCTGTTCAACATAGTATTGGAAGTCCTGGCTCGAGCAATCAGAGAAGAGGAGGCAATCAGGGGTATCCAGATAGGAAAAGGGGAAGTCAAGTTATCTCTCTTTGCAGATGATATGATTGTGTACCTTAAAAACCCAAGAGAATCTGTCAAAAACCTCCTTACACTGATAAAGGCCTTTGGCAAAGTCTCAGGATACAAAATAAATGTACAAAAGACAATCGCATTTCTCTACACCAATAATAAACTAACAGAAACCCAAGTAAAAAAACACAATTCCATTCACAATAGTCACAAAAAAAAGAAATACCTTGGCATCTTCCTAACCAGAGACGTGAAAGACCTTTACAATGAAAATTACAAAACACTGCTCAAAGAAATCAAAGATGACACAAACAAGTGGAAAAATATCCCAGGCTCATGGACAGGAAGAATCAACATTGTGAAGATGTCCATCTTACTGAAGGCAATCTACAAATTCAATGCAATACCCATCAAATTACCAGCAACATTCTTCTCAGACCTAGAAAAGACAACACAGGAATTCATATGGAAACACAAACGATCAAGAATAGCCAGAACAATCCTCAGCAAAAAAAAACAAAGCAGGTGGTATTACATTACCAGACTTCAAACTTTACTATAAAGACACAAGCATCAAAACAGCTTGGTATTGGTATAGGAACAGGCATATAGATCAATGGAATAGAATTGAGATTCCAATAGCAAAACCTCAATTTCTCAACCAACTCATCTTCGACAAGGCCTCCACCACCTACCACTGGGGAGAGGATAACCTATTCAGTAAATGGTGCTGGGAAAACTGGCTGACCACATGCAGAAGATTGAAACAGGACCCCTATCTATCCTCATGCACAAAGGTTAACTCCAAATGGATCAGAGACCTAAATGTAAAACCTCAAACCATAAGAACCATAGAAAATGAAGGAAATACCCTCATGGAAATCGGAGCTGCCATCCAATTCCTGAACAAAACCCGAAACCCACAGGTCATAAGAGAGAAGATAGACAAGTGGGACCTTATTAAACTGACAAGCTTCTGCAAGGCCTAAGAAACCATCAAGAGAGCAAGGAGACAGCCTACAGACTGGGAAAAAATATTCGCCAACACCAGGTCTGACAAAGGCTTGACATCCTGGATCTACGAGGAACCAAAACGTGCTGAAAAGAAAAAAACAAACAACCCCATTATCAAATGGGCAAAAGACATGAACAGACACTTCACAAAAGAGGACATCCGAGCAGCCAACAAACACATGAAGAAATGTTCAACCTCACTAATCATCAAGGAGATGCAAATCAAAACCACACTGAGATACCACCTAACTCCAGTCAGAATGGCAATTATCAACAACTCAAAAAATAACAGCTGCTGGAGAGGGTGTGGTGAAAAGGGAACACTTCTACACTATTGGTGGGAGTGTAAACTAGTGCAACCTCTGTGGAAAGCAGTGTGGCAATTCCT